GCACCATTGCCATTCTTGAAAAACATTGCTTTAACCACAATGTCAACTCCTTGAGCCTCTCAATGGTTTCTTCTACACAAACACAATATCAAAGCAAGAACCAACCATCTACAACCTGCAAAGCACTCCTAAAAAATAGGCCATGCCCCATTGGAACTATGAAAAGTCATTCACTCTCACTTACAATCCAACCAAGCCATAATTCTATAATTTATAAACCTAATCAGCTCTTGTATCCAAACCTCTTGTTTATAAATAGAGAGATCAATTGCTAGAGAAAAAGGTCAGAAAAAATAGAAAGAGAAACAAGCACTCAAAATCCCTTCACTCTCAAAACCAGAACAATTCATAAAGCCTTCATCTTTGAGCTTTGAAGTCCAAATCTTTGAATATCAAAAACCTTGAGAGTTTTCCCCAAACAAACCACCCAAATAATTCATATACATCATATAAAAGTTGTTCAAAAACAAGAACAACTTCTGTAATATCACTATCACCATCTTCCAAACTCAACATCAGTACCTTGCAACTTGACTTAGTTGGAGTGGTTCAGCCATTTTCAGCATAGAAGGAGGGTTGGAGCAACTTCAAGAAGGATCAAAGGAGATCAATCAATCACCACTTTGAACCCGAAAACATCTGTACATGTTCTAAATTTTTTTCTTCAAGAGATAAAACTGGACCGATTAAAGAGAAAATCTAGCAAAAAGCCAGGCTAGGGGATGGCACGGGTGCCAGTGTCACACGACATGGCCCATGTTAGCTCAGCTAGGTTGAAACCCTAACAGAAATACAGGGGCAGGGGCTAACACGGGTACCCGTGTCACACGAAATGGCTCGTTTCAATTTGAATGGAGTAGAAAAATGAGTATGAGGCATTTAGAAGATCCTGACACGGGTTCTCGTGTCCATTGACACGGCCCGTGTCAGTTCAGGCACTAAAAACCCTTGTTTTGAGACTTGTTTTGCTTCAATTTTAAATCATTGTGGATACCTTAGACATTTTTGCATTATGAACTAACACCATAAAACCTTTTTCTAAATGAAACATTTAAAATATTTTTCTAAACAATTAGTTTTCTCTTTTTTAAATTTAACTTAGACCTAGGTATTGCTTCAATTAAATGAACTACAAAACCTTTTCCATCAAAAACTATAAAAGAGAAATCTTTTTCTTCATCTTTACATTTTCACGCATTTTACCATTTCGCATTACAATTTATGTAATTGTCAAATCCTTGTAATATTAATTAGGATTTTATTTACTTGTCGTCCCCATTTGTAAATTTATACCCCCATCCCATCAAGTATTTTAATATTGTAGGACATTTAATTTCCACAATTTATCGCTTTCCATATTATTGCTAGTAATTAGGGTTTGTATGGAAAGACTTAATATCAACAAGTAGACAACCCTAAATTCAAGACAAATGAATGAAAACAAAAACACTTTGCACACTTGCACCTCTAGGGTAACCCATACTTGTTGCCTCAGATTAAACAGTCATGTCCCCCGGACGTGGGATACTTTAGCAAAGACCCTCTATTACAAGATCGTAGTCCCTCGATGACCTTTCGATGTTTCCTTTGATAAACAATCTTAGACCCTTACGAAAAAATTGCTAAGGTATCCTACAATGTTTCCTTCTACGACTGTATGATGACCCACGCATGTCCCTTCACATCCAATAATAAGGTTGCTTACCAACTAATGGTGAGACAAAACTATCTAAAAGAGGTGGGAAAAAAAAAGACTTCTTCTGAGTAGGTATAACGTTCGTAGTTGCTTGCTCACAAACATTTCAAAACATCTTTCAAATACACCAACATTTTCCATAAAATATTTTCAAAAGTCAACACTTTGTATACATTCTTATAGAGACGATAATTATTACAAAGTTCGCCTAAACGAAGGCACTTTTCAGAAATACTTTCAAAACATCTTTCCAAAAACAAACATCTCTTTGAACTATTTTCAAAACCAACACTTTGTATACATTCTCGCCGAAATGAGAATCATTACAAAGTTTGCGGAAATAAAGGCGTTTTCAAAATATTTTCAAACTTACCCCAAACACAAACACATTTTATAAAGCATTTCAAAAGTGAGCTAGCAACTAAGAGCCCGTAGATAACTACGGATGAAAAGGGTTCTAACACCTTCCCTTTTCATAACCTACCCCCTGAAATCAAGAAAATTCTCAAAAAGTATTTCCTGTTCTTTTCACCCTTTCATTTATTGGATAAAAGAAAAGTTGGTGGCGACTTTTGTTATCCGCAACAATTGCGATAAAACGCAAAACTCCCAAGTCATTTCTTCCACTATATTATAGAACTGGTGACTCTGATGGGGAGATCTTAAAAGTGGGGTTACCTTAGAGATTAGATCACCTTTAAAATTCTTTCATTGTTTGACTTGTATGCTTTACATTGTGGGTTATGTTTAGGTTTTTTAGATCCTCTACCCGGATCTGGGAACAATATTAGGCAAGTAGCAAAGAATGTGGAGACAATACGACCTAAACCGACATGGTTAAAGCAATAGCTATGTTAGTGTGACACATTTGTGGGTACCGGTATCCGTTATGGTGAATCGAGGAGAACACAGGCCGCTGTGTGGTGTCATGAAGCCCTAGCTAACCATGGAACCTTTAGTTGAATAACTTGGCCATTAGGAAGTAGTGAGATAGCCGACTTTGGTGCAAAGCTGAAGATTGGTTGATACTTGATAATACACTCATTGAGATTGGAATTTTGGGATATTTTGGCCCCAAGAAAAGATTTATTGTGCTAAAGCAATGCCCAATGAAGAAAGATCAATGATGTTGAGATTCCCTAGAACTCGTTTACTTTCTAGGACGGGTTGGACCAACTAAACTTCAAAAAGGTACTTACCTATGAAACCCTTGCAAGCCTACACCTAAGGTCTTTGTGTGATTTGCTTGTGATTAATTATTCATGACATCATAAACATCATAACATCATAAGCATTCTCACTAACCATTTCAAGGATTTAGGAATTTATCTTTGTTTTGTTTTGTAGGACATGGGTTTCACTCGTAGAAATAACATCTGAGTCAACTTCGTGAAAGTGCTTCCTCAACTTAAAGAGCTAGCATCGAGGGTGCCTGGAGATTCTCCATTCAACAAGAAATATGGTCGACTTCTCAACTTGGGTACCTTAAACGTCCAAGAAGAAATGATGTGTGTGCTCTTCCAATTCTTTGATCCTATGCATCATTGCTTCACATTTCCCGACTAACAATTGGTGCCTACATTAGAAGAATTCTCTCAACTTCTAGGAGTGTATGTGCTTGATCAAATACCATTCACCGGTTTAGAGGAAATTCCAAAGCCTGAGGTTTTTTCCAAAGCCTTGCATTTGAAGAGATCCGACATTGTGGCAAATTGGGAAACAAGGAGTGGAGTTAAGGGTTTCTTAGCCAAGTTCCTGGTGGAAAAGGCTCGTTTGTTTTGGGAAAATCACTACAAGAAAAAAAGAGATTTACGACACATAAATTGCGACAGTTCCCACAAAACCGTCCTTATTCCTGAATTGCGACAGTTGTCACGACGGTTAGGCTCAACCGTCGTAGATTTTCAAGCATTATTCCTGAATTGTGACAGTTGTCACGACGGTTAGGCTACTTTTTTTTATTCTTTTACTTTCCCACTTTTTTTCAGCAACACAATATCATAATATCAACACAATATCATAATATTTTCAGTAACTAATATTTATTATTAAATTATAAACAAAATACAACAAATAAAAATATAAAAAAACAAAATAGGAGTAACAAACAAAATTGAAAGAGGATTAGGTTTTGTGAAAGAGCTTTTTATCCGATTGAAGCAAAGAACCACCGCCGGAAGTACGATGTTGCGCCTAGAATGGTGAAGCTTCCATTCTTCGATTCGACTCAATCTTCTTCATCTTCTGCGCGATCTTTGTATCATCCGAATATCAAGGTATATAAATTATTGATTCAATCTTCTTCTACTTCTTTTCAATTTTCTTTCGATTTTACCGTGGTGATGTGTTTCGGTTGAAGTTGCAGAATCAGTTGCATTGATGAAGATGATGAACGAATGAAGTTATTGATTCAGTGAAGATGCATTGAGGACGATTGAAAAACGGAAGGTGATGATGCTGTTTTGAGATAACCAGAAGGTGAGTTTTTCTTTCTTTCTGTGAATCTCCTTCTGAGTTTTTTGTGTGATTTTCTGATTGAATGAATCGTGAGCCAAGTGAGAGAGTGAAAGTTTTGTATGATGTAAAGGACTTGTGATGATAATGGTTTTGTAATGCTTGTGAACAACTTGTAATGAACATGAATGAACTTTATTTTGATGGAATTAACTTGGAACTTGAATGATTTCAATGATGAATTATGTCATATTGAATGAACCACAATCAAACTTGAGTCCCTTATGCTTGATGCTTAAAACCAATACATGAACACGAACTCTTAAAGTTGATTCGAAACATGAGTCAAGGACTTGAAGTAAACAAGTCACCTAGCTTTAAAGTGACCTTGAAGTACATGGCCACTTTAATGCAATGATTAAGTGGTGAACGTGATGAATAAGGTAGAGATGAATATGAGATGGTGAAGGACATAAAGAAGTGACTTAAGTCCTAAGTTCTATATATCTCAAGCAATCCACCAAATCATGAATTGTAACACAATTTTTTACCACCTTGAAATTCTTTGATATCTCACTAATTCGTCCTGGATTATGGGCTGGTTGTGAACATGTGGATTGTACTCCACAAAACACTTTCTCATGGGCTGAAAGCAAGGAAGGCCATGGAAAAAGATCAAAGGAATCAACAAAAGTCCATATTGGATCAAACTTAGCACAAGGAACCGAAATTCTTCTAATTTGCACCTCAACGGGCTTAAGCACTTAGTTATCTTCATAGCTGTAACGAGAACTCTTCATATCTTCATGCCGTACTTACTGTTTGCTTATCTGCTAAATTTGCTCACAGAATGGCGCCATCCAGAATTCATGTTACCTGTGCATTAGTGAATGATAAAATGCCCACTGGACGGATTCATAAGGGAGTGTGTTCAACTTGGATGAAGGTATTTATATTTACCCTTTTCCTTAATTGTGATCCTTCTTTCAAAATTGCAGGTGTAATTGATTTAAAAATGAGCCCCTTGAATACAGGCATCAACTTTGAATTTGTGAAATGGTTAAATATTAATATCAGTCGGTGATATCTGTCCACTTTTGAATTTTGATGGCTATGCGGTCATCATTTTAGAGATCTACTATTACTTCATTTCAAAGCATTGACTTACCTTATGTTTTGATTTTCAGAATTCTGTACCATTGGAGAAAAGTCAGGACAGTAGTTGGGCTCCTATCTTTGTTAGGCAGTCCAATTTCAGACTCCCAGCTGATAGTAAAGTGCCTGTAATTATGATAGGCCCTGGCACTGGGTTGGCTCCTTTCAGAGGTTTCTTACAGGTTTGAACCAACAGTCTTGATGTTCATTCTGTTAGTTCTCTCGTATATCCAACAGAGTCTATATGCTAATTGTATCTGATTTTTATTTTTGCTTCAGGAAAGATTAGCTCTGAAAGAAGGTGGAGCTGAGCTGGGCCCCTCTGTTTTATTCTTTGGATGTAGGAACCGTCAAGTGGTAAGTTTTTTTCCCACCACATGGACCTATGACTTTAAGCCACAAGTAATATGTGTGTATGTCAGAAGGGTAACATATTTTATATAGGATTTTAAAATTTTTTTTTAAAGGACTATATCTATGAAGATGAATTGAACCACTTTGTTAATGGTGGAGCACTTTCTGAGCTCATTGTTGCTTTCTCACGAGATGGGCCTACAAAAGAATATGTCCAACATAAAATGATGGAGAAGGTGCCTACTTTTTCTCTTGATACTTTTATTTCCAATTTACAGTATACGGCTCACTTAAATCTTATATTTTTTGTTATTTATTGGTTGTATTTTCAGTTTTTGAAGGAAAAATGATTTTGATTTTAGTTGTAATTGTTGAAAAATTATGCGAAGTCTAAAAGGAAAATACTTTTAAGAAGTGATATGGAATCCATGTTTGGACATAGTATCCAAGAACAAGACCACCAAATGCAGAATCTTCACACATCTTGCAAGTCACTCTCATTAGTGATATCTACTTCCACAGCCTTCTAGCCCACTATACCGGAAAAGCATTATGTCCACTTGCAAAACCAAGTTGAATCATCCAAATTCTTTTTCAGGTATCTACCATCATAATATCCATAAACTTTTGCTTTGATAAATTAGTAACTTACAAACTTTGTTATAATTGTATTGGTGCCGCACGAATATTCTACTGGTTTTATTAGTGAAGAACATAGGAATTTATAAGATATGGTTTAGGCATCATGTAAAAGTAATCATATGGAATCATAGATTCATTAGATGGATCATGTACTCATACCCCACTCCATGTATTCGGTCTTCAATGTCAAGACAACATCAATTAATATAAAAATTACTTTAATTTTAAATATATGTAGGTTAATTATCATGAAAGTTGGTTAAATGGTTAACATCTTAAAACTTAAATTAATGAATATCTAAATAAAGAGAATAATAATTATATGGCTCAGCGTCTAGTCACATAACAAGATGGAATAAAGAGTCATGCTATCAAGTTCTAAACAAGGGAAGAACAAGATAATGAAAAGTAATAACAGTGTAACATATGTAACAAAAATAAAGTTGAGTTAAGATCATTGTAGTTATAAAAATAGAACAAGAAAATCACATAAGCTATCACTTATTCACATATTAAAAATATTGAAGTTTTGCTTGTACAGAACAAGTAACGTCACAAATTTTGTACTCTTTACAAGTTCATACATATGCTTAAGGGCTTTGTGCTTGAGCCAATGAGTGATAAATCTAAAAAGGTTTAGTTCCTGAAGGTGAGTCGAATACTTAAGCACAGTCGAACAATGACTGAAAATACTTTACAAGAGATGAGAATATTATGTTGTTAACATTAAACTTCAAATGCTAATCTTTACGATGAAATCATTTTGGTTATGAAGGAAAAATTAATTGTGCTCCTTCAAATATTAGGATGTTATTGAAAATTAAAATAATTATTTTTGAGATACAATATTTATAGGACATTAAACCCCATAATACAAACGATTTGGGTAAAGGAAGACAAATGCCAATACACTACGGCTCTAACAAACACAATTACTTCACAGTTTCATCGCCTATTGCGTAAGACATATATGCCATAATGTAATAAACATGTTAAAAATAGTTGCAATTGTTAATTCGTGACATTTTTTTCTGAACAAGCTCATGTTGTTTGGCAAGAAATTCAGAACACAACTTCCTCAAGCTGTAGGCGCTGCTTATTCGCTTAAAATGGACGGAAAAAGTGCTTGTGCAGTCACTTTTTGTGGAGATGGAAGTACTAGTGAGGTTAGTAATGATGAATATGAGCCAACAATCTCTCTTAAGAACGTAATTATAGAATAACGCATCATTATGCTTCTAGCTGATATTTGAAATATTGTAGGGAGATTTTCATGCTGCTTTGAACTTTGCAGCAGTAATGGAGGCACCAGTTGTTTTCATATGTCGTAACAACGGATGGGCCATTAGTACCCCTGTCGAAGAACAATTTCGAAGTACTCTATACAAATTCTTCCTACTTAAGTTGTTTATTCAAACAGACTCTATATAATTTTCTCAAGTCTATATGATTGACTTCGGTGTTTTGATTAGGTGATGGCATTGTGGTGAAAGGTCAAGCTTATGGGATATGGAGTATGAGAGTAGATGGAAATGATGCTCTTGCCGTTTATAGTGCAGTTCATACTGCACGCGAAATTGCTATAAAAGAACAAAGACCAGTTTTGATTAGTTTTTGAAGGAAAAATGATTTTGATTTTAGTTGTAATTGTTGAAAAGTTTGTATCTTGTATGTTTATGATCTCTGAGATATATACTTGTCCTATTCCTATTTAATTTTTTTAGGGTTTATGAGGTTTCTTTCATGAATTTTGTAGAATATTGTAACATTTTTTGTAATTCTCTCAAGTTGTAGCAAACCAATGTAAATATTAAAATGAAATTTGGCCTTTGATGATATTTGAATTTTTCTTGTTTATTGGTAAAATTTGCACTTCTTTTTACCTTTGATCACATTTTTTTGATATTATTGATGATTATTTGATATTAAATGTTTTTATTGTAATTAACTTTATTATGTTGAAAAGTGATAGAAAATAAAATAAAATACTATAAATAAAAAAATATTAAAGTAAATAATAATTTAAATATAATAGTAAAATAATATTATATTTAAAATTATTTTACTAAATAATAATTTAAATAAAAATATTATTTGAAATTTATAAATCAGATTACGACGGTTAAAACCGTCGCAATTTCTAACCTACGGCGGTAGAATAACCGTCGCAAACAACAACAAAAACAAAAACTAAAGTCAAATTCACGACGGTATATAACCGTCGCTATCTGTTGTGCGTGACAGTTTTTGCAACCGTCGCGAAATAGGCTGGGGACGCACGATTCTGCGACGGTACTTCTACCGTCATAGATTGTAAATTGCGACGGTTTTAACCGTCGTAATCAGCCAAAATAACCGTCCCAATCTATCATTTTTCTTGTAGTGAATATGGATTTTCAAGCTTTTAAGGATGTCTTGACTCTTCTAATATATGGCTTGGTTCTATTTCCCAATCCGAACCAACTCACAGATGTGAATACCGTCAAAGTTTTTCTCTCTCGTAATCTCGTACCCACTTTTCTTGGAGACATTCTACATTGTTTCCACACTCGCACCATGAATAAGAGAGGAATTCTTTTGTGATGTATTCCATTACTGTCTAGGTGGTTTATTTCGCACCTACCTCGATCAATGTTGAAGAATGAGCAAGGCTTGACATGGTCTCAAAGGATGATGTCACTCTCACACTCGGATATTCATTGGTGTTCCCGATCTTTGGAGGATGTTATCATCATTGATTGTTGTGGAGAATTCCCTAATGTTCCACTCTTAGGCATTAGGGGATGTATTACCTATAACCCTTCTCTTGCATTACGACAGTTTGGGTATGTGCGAAGAGATGGTCCCCATGATACAATCATCCAAGGTTTGACATTCGACTACGAAAGTGACATCTAAGGTTGTCGTCAAAGGTTCATACGAGCTTGGAGAATGGTAAACTAGTTGGATAGCAAGACCCTGTGGCATACAAATTTCATCCCTCTTGAGCCTTACCTCAAGTGGGTACAAACTCATGCTCAAAATCTCATGATGCCTTACCCAGCCATCCTACCTGTGATTATAGAGCCTGTTGTTGAGGGAGACACCCCTTATACTCTTATTCATAATGAAATGTCTACCGACTTCAAGGAATTACACAGATTGTGGATTCAACTCAAAGGGGAATGAGATACCTTTGAAGCATAGTTCTACTCAAGCAAGAAGAAGGTTTTGGAGCTCACGAGGAAACTTCATGAAGACCGAAGTTTGAATTCCTACATTGCACCAAAGAGGATGTGCTCATGGGAATCTTGAGTCCTTTATGTATTAGGAGTTTATTTTGTATCATTTGTTTTTCTTCCATTGTAAGCCCGAGAGGCGTTTGTAATTCATGAACATATTAACACAATTAATGTTTATTGTCTTCTCGTTGTTTAGCATATTTAAATTTCTTAAAATCCTTGAAAACATTGCATTTGCACAACATGCATCATATCATAAGAATGTCTTCTGAAACAGATTTCCTCATCCTTTTACTTTTTATTTCAGTATAAGATGGATCTCTAGAAAACTGTCAAGGACTTGCAAACTCTAAACTCCCAGTTTCACGAAACTCTTATCAAATTAGCAAAGGGGCAGAAAAAAATTATGGCTTTTTCTTGTTACAAAGAAAAGGACAAAGAAGAAAGTTGTAATCAACATGGGGAAGAGATTTAAAGGGCCTGCCAGACAAGTCCAAGTTTAAGAAGACTCCTCCGAGGAGGATGAGAATCAAGATGAAGATACTAGGAGCACCCGTGTTGGGGGTGGAAACAATCAAATATCTAAAGACGAAGATTATTTTGATGAGCAATATCAACCGGCCGACGACAAGTATAAGCAACTAGAAGACAGATTGAAGGCTGTAGAAATCCAAGTTGTGCCTGGCTTGGACTTTGGTGACTTAGGTTTGGTTCCCGGGGTAGTCATTCCCCACCAATTCAAAATCCCTGCTTTTTCCAAATATGATGGTGTCTCATGTCCTAAGCTTCATCTAAGATCTTATGTCTGCAAAATTCAGCCGCATACCGCTGATAAGAAACTGTGGGTGCACTTTTTTCAAGAAAGTTTAACTGCGACGCAGTTGGAGTTGTTTTACCAATTGGAAGGGACTAACATCCAAACTTTGGAGGATTTAGCCACTGGATTTTACCACCAGTATCAATATAACGCTGATCTTGCGCCAACTAGGGATAAATTACAAGGAATGACCATGGATTCCAACGAGGGTTTCAAAGAATACGCTCAAAAGTGGAGAGACTTTGATGGCAAGGTGCAACCACCTTTAACGGATAGGGAGTTGGTAGACTTGTTTAAGGGAACTTTTATTGGACCATTTTTCAACTTGCAAATTTGAAGTTCATCATCTGGGTTCACTGAATTGATGTTGACTGGTGAAAGGGTTGAAAGCAGGATTAAAAGCGGGAAGATACCCATGGCCTCCACCTCAAATGCTGTGAAAAAGCCATTTATTGGTAAAAAAATAGACTAATGCTATGTATGGGTTAATAAACCATGCTAAGAATGACCATCATCATTTAGTAGGGGTTGTAATGATTTCCGTTCCAACTCCAACTAAACGACCGTGTCAATAAAATAGTCAACAAAGACCGAATGTACAAAGAAGACACTTTACTAAAAAAAAATGCAACTATCTCAAGCTCTGCAACACCTATTGAAAGTTGATTTGGTGACCTTGCGAGATCCCCCTTCCAACCCTAATATTGCTTCTCCAAAATACAACCCCAATTCCAAATGCGCTTACCACTCAAATAGTCTCGGACATGATACTAATGATTGTTGGTCTCTAAAGAATAAAATCGAAGACCTAATTCATAACAAGACAATTGAATTCGACCCTCCGCCAACTCCCAACGTAATCACTGCACCCATGCTAAATCATGGTAAGGGTGTCAATGTTATTGAATATCCCTCTTTTGTTGCCTCCATCAATGACTTGACAACTCCTTTGAAGATTGTTAAAGAGAATTTGTTGAAAGACTGGGTATTCCCTAATTTCCTTGAAGACTGTTGCTAATGTGTTGTACAAATTAATGGTTTTAAATATCTTAAGAAAGGTGTCCAACACCTGATGGATAGCCATGAGATTCTATTTGATAGAACTGCATCTGTGAAAAGTTTGACCGAAGTCGTATCTCAAGAATTTGAAGACGTGCCCATCATTACAATCTCAAAAAGACTTATTAGGATCACCTCAAAAGGTCCTATTAGAATTCCCATTGAACCAAGAATAACTCCACTAATTATCACCACACCAGGGCCAGCCCCCTACTCTTCTGATAAGGTTTTACCTTGGAATTATGGGGCAGAAGTGTACTTCCATGGTATCAAACAAGCAATACCAATACAACGTTGATCTTGCACCAACACGTGTGCAGTTGCAAAATATGACCATGCGTTCCAACGAGGGCTTCAAAGAGTACGCCCAAAAATGGAGAGACTTGGCAAGCAGAGTGCAACCACCCTTAACTGATACATCTTTAAGGTAATTTTGATGGGACCTTTATTCAATCACCTAATCGGAAGCTCCTCGGTTGGGTTCACCAAGCTAATATTGACTGGCGAAAGGGTCGAAGTTGGCATCAAAAGTGGAAAAATCCAAGGAGCTACATCCTCTGATACTCAGAAAAATCCATACAATAGGAAGAAAGAGTCCAATGTTGTTTACAACCAAAAGGGTCATAACAAGAGTCACCACGACCAACATGTGGGGGAAGTCTTGATCTCCAGTCCTGCATCACAGTGACAACAACAAAGAGGAAATCAGCGAAGGCTAGACGAGCCCAAAAGACAGTTTACCAACATGAAAATTCCGTTGTCTCAAGCATTACAACACTTGTTGAAGATAAATCTGATTACGTCGATAGGACCTCATCCAAACCCCAAAACTTCTTCTCCTAACTACAATCTTGATGCAATATATGCATATCATTCCGTAAGTCCTGAGCATGATACTAATGATTGTTGGACACTGAAATACAAGATTCAAAACATGATTGACACCAAGGAGATCGAGTTAGACCCTCCAGGGGCTCCCAACGTGATCACCGCTCCCATGGAAAATCATTGAGCATTCCAGTTCATTTTGAATTTTCAATTGTAATATCTTTTGTTATTCAAACAATTATCTATTAATGTTAAACTCTATTTCATTAATGCATCGCATATGTTTGTCTTGAATTCATCCATTTGTTTTCATTATATTTAAATTTTTCTATCTTTACACCTTTTATAATATTTACCTCTCGCTAAAATTTACAAGCCTTTAAAGGGAGGATGACGAAGACAATGCCATAATCTCATATAGTATGCTTTTGGACAGATCTTGCTGACGATGTACAAGTGTTTCTTTCAATTCCTAAACATAAGAGTTATAACGAAGATAATCCCTAGTAAACCCCTTCGAGCCAAAGAAGTAGAAGTTTTCTTTTTTACACAAATTGAAACCTTTAATCAAAACCTGGGGCAGGGTAGTTTCTCAGTTAATTCAAACGCGCATTCAGTCGTAAACTTTCACTTTGTATACAACGAATAACATCAAAAACATTCCTATGGAATCAAAATATGGCAATGGTTCCC